CTCAGAGCTGGCCCAGCCCTCGCTCGGCTACATGTGCGCACTTCGGTTCATAGGTATGGCCGTTTTCTATCCTTTGTGATGTTCGCTTCAGAGCGATGCATTAGACCCGTGTCCGAAATTTTAATTTCTTATGCGTCTCGTCGAGCCCATCTTGCCTTTCATTTTCTTTGAGAAGACCGGCTTGGACCTCCTTGGAGATTTCGGACCCTGAGCTGATCATATCGAATGCTTGGGGAAGCTCGATCTCAGTATCTCGGCAGAACTTCAAGAAGTACTCAGAGTCCTCACGACACATCGTCTTTCATTCCCTGTATTCAGAATCACTCATTTAGGCATGAGATTATGTGAAAAATGTTACTCAGGTGCAAGATAGGGCTAACCAGGTGAGCGACCGGGCAAAGGCTTCGGCAGAATGGGCTCATGCTGTCGTCGTTCTTAATTTGGCGGCCAGGAGTTTATAAATGACGAAGTCGGAGAGTCAAGTAAACCTGCGAATGAATCCCCGGCAGAATTGAATTGTAGGCGATTCAGTACAAGCAAAACCAACTAATCGTTGTCGAATGGTCCCACGGGGAGCCCTTCACCACCTTTCCCGCGAAGTCAGACATCTTGGGCCTTATTCTAGCGCATCTTCCTGCCATTGAAAGCCTTTCGGACATATTATGGTAATGGCAAGAAGGATGATCTTACGTTTCTTTCATCTAGGCTCCTAAATTCATTCGCAAAGAAATTGTAAAAGTCTTCAATGATCTTCGCATCATATTCAACCTCTCCGTTGTCTGGGCAGATCCACGTCAGACCGAGTAACATAGCTTCAGGTGTAGTTGCAAATTCCCCTTTCATCCCACACATCATTCGCAAGAGGTTGCGTGTTTGCGGATGCTTGGAATTCGGCTTTCACTTGCACTTATAGGGCATGAAGGATCGGAAAGTCGGTGTCTAGCTCAAAACAGGTATATCGCAACCAAACCTTAGATACTTGTTCCCATATCAAGTTCGAGCGACGACCGTACTCCACTTTCGGGCATTTCACCGAGACGAAAGTGGAGCCCACCCGTGCCAGTGCACCGAGCTGACCGGGCGTGCTGCAATGAGGAGACCGGGCACCAAAAACAATGGTCACCTCATCGTTTTCAACCATATCAGTCAATGTTAGCACGCCCTAACTGACAAATCGACAAATCCAAGCTCGTTCTTAGAATTTGACGCCCTATGTTTCAACCTGCATCGTCAAAGGGTGCCACGCATTAAGAAAAATGACTGGACAACTCTGCCGGGCTTGGACTGTCAAAGCTTCAGCATGGACTGCTAAATCCTCGGGAAGAAATGTTTCACGTAAAGCGAAAATAATTGCTGAATAATATGAAAGCTCTAGGTCAAGCCATACGTCCAAATAGTGTCTTCGCGCGGTACCTGTTATCACAGGCGGCAGTTCATGCAGTCACAGGTGCTGTTCATTTGAGCCAAATCTCATCAGCCGTCTCCTGCAGTGAGTGAGCATCTAGTAGGTCGGATATTATGCGATCTTCTGTAGGGATTATACCATATAGGATGGTGAAGCTGGCAAAGACTTCTGCTATCTTCAACTGAGTAGTATGTTGATTCAATGTCATTAGAAAGCACAGTGGCTCGCCAATTTGTGCCGCAGAATATCCTTCCAATATGTGACATCTCATAACAACAAACCTTGTTTGTATCTGGCGCTTGGCACTTGGGTAAAATCTTGGCCAAACAAGATGGATCTGGGAAGAAGAGGCCCAAAAGGCTGGTTAATATGAATAACAAATAGTCGGAAACACTCCGTGTTGGATTGAGGGATTATATCGAGACGATGAAGGCACGTAAGAGGGTTCCCAATGCATGTTCGTCTTGAAAGGAGCTGACAGATATATGGATACTCCATCTGGGTATCCATCTCATCAACAACTCTGCAGGCCATGTGATTGACGCATATTAAGCGCCAGATACGGTATTGGCGATGAATCGTGTCATCTGCATTGTAAACAGCGTGTTTGAGCTGTTAAATGGTCATTCACCGGCGACACTCGAAGTAATCCTGTGTCACAGAGTTGGGAAAGTCTGCAGGGTAAGAACGGCAAAGGAGATTGGTTAAAGGAAACTTGCTCATACCGGGAATAGGATACAGTAAGTCTCAACAATTTTATACGTATCAGAGGTAGAAGCTGGGCGATTGTGACTATGATCGTGGTCCCTTTCAGAATGGGAATGAGCCCATCCGAGAGACGTCTCACGCTGCGGGAGTATGCTGGGATCTGAGAGGCAGAGACCCTGTAACACGAAGCACCAAAGCTTCCTGCCTACTCGGCGTTTGTTGAGGAGTCTACCTGGCTAATGATACCACAAGGACCTGGCATTTCAGGACTCGGTCCATGGTCCCAGGCAACGCACCATCGACTGACGGTGCGGGTCAGCGCAAGGCGCCATCTGGGATAACTCCCGGATCTTGAGCCTCGAATCGGGCTTGGAAATATGCGCTTTCTTGGTCCTGACACCACGACTGCTATTACAGGAGTACACACTACAAAATCTTGAGCTATTGCATTTGAGCTCCATTGTAGACGGGAGTAAACGTGAGCGCAGGCAAGCATGACTCAAATGACCGAGATGCTATAACTTCTCGAAATTAAAGGTGGCACGCTATTGGAACTTCACGATAATCTCCAAGGTGCGTCCCAAAAAGAGGGCTACTGTGCGGCTTCAAGGATACAACGTAGACACGTGAAACAGCATGAAGACGTCTGACAATGCTTGATGATGTTATCACCAGTATAATCCAGGTCATTCTTTCTGGTGTTCTTTCAAATTTTCGAGGCAAGTCTGAATCATGCTAAGGTCTGCTGGCGGATGTTGTCTTGGAGATATGGGTCCAGCGGCCACATGCGTGTTGGGGCCAGAGGAGGCAGGGAAGTAAGACAAATCCGAGAGACACTAAGGCAGCAACATCTCGATCCAGAGATATAGTTCATGTGAGTATGACACGAGTAGAAGCTGTTGAAGCTAAGCTATAAATCATCCTCGTTCAGAACATAAACGGCGGCCCACCGGCGAGATGAGCATGCCGCATGCCCCCTTTCCCCTTTTCTTATCCCAGCAATCACCATGGATGCATGACTAAGTGGCAGCACATCGAAAGGAAAGTCTTGATGGTAGGATATGATGCTTGGCCTCTACAAATGCTGATGGTCTCCTCTCACCTGGAGTTTTGCAAGGTGTCGTAGTTGGTGGGTCGTTTCACTTCACCCACTGCCTTCACAGCATCTGCATCCACCAATATCAGTTAAAATACCGAGTCCCCAGGCCCGGACCTTGCTCACTTCTCTCAGGCCCATGATTCGGAAGGTTTATCGACAACCTGAGCTTTGGGTCAGCCCGGGAGCCGGTGCGTGGCCAGAGGATATCATCCCCACACCGAGTCTCTGGTGCTCTAGTCCATCCCTATCAATTCTCGCGCAAGACGCCGTCATCTCATTCCATGGGAGTGGCTTCATGGGTTTTATCTCGCTGCTCGCATCGGAAGATGGTTTTCCACATTGCAAAGCTGCTTGGGCTGCCCTACAGGTCGATTACGGTACATTACCTGCACATGTCTAACCGAGCGCTCCCATTGACTCGGCCAGAACCTACCGATGGGTCATTGGGTTCGAGGACTTCTCTGCCATGCAAAATGAAATGTGAGTGACGTCGCCTACGCTCAGGTAGCGACGATTCTGCCGCACATTGCCGGAATCCAGTAGCGTCCGTCCCCAGGAGCCATCACCGGTATCTCTCCATGACTGGACAATGACACACGGAATTAAAGTCGGAGATTCTACACCAGTGTGGCCCCACCATGTATTACGATCATATCGAAAACTTCGTTCGGCCGTGCTATCTTGGTTCGGCAGTCAAACTACAAGAGTTGTGGATCAAAGCTCCATTCAAGGACCAGAAGCTGGTCCTTCTCTGTACTTCTCTTGGGGTATGAGTCAAGCTCTCCAGAACCACGAAGCTTGGTTCGCTTGATCAGCTTCTGATGCTGAAGGGGGATTCTTGAGACGGACATAGGCCGACGTGACGGGGTGAGACATGATGGTGAAGCGATAAATGTGATATTGACGATAGCTGCACCAGAGTGCAAATGTCGACATGTTTAATTGGTAGGCAAGCAACATGTTCGCGCGCAGTTGCCCTTGTGCAAAAGAAGCTGTACCCGTGCAGAAAACGCTGGTCTCGAACCGGTCTGTGGTTGACACTTGCATCTGACCTAGTCCTTGGCAGAGTTTAAAGCGGTGATGCATGCGTACTAGAGAGTTGAATCGTTTAGACCAATAGCACTTGAAAGAGTGTCGTGAGCTGTCCCATGCGGCGAAATCTAAGACGCCGTGGAGAGGAAGATTGTTGCATCAGGAATGGATCTGGTTCCGAGAGAAAGTATCTTGAAATTGTGCAAATTGACGGAACCCGTAGACAGCCGGGTATTGCATTGAAGTTCGGAATAGGCCTGAGGATGGCTTTAGATCGGGAAGAAGGCCCGCAGATGAGTTCAGCAAAACAGAGTCTCAACGGGCATGGCCAGAAGCATTTCCATAGCACTGAGAACGTTCCATAAAGTGTCGATTCTAGCGTAGACCTTTGGACACAAGCCTTTCAGAACAAACAAGACGATTGTTCATGGGAAACCAGCTCAATGATTCGGGGCGTTGTGGATACGAACAATGCAAAAAGAGAATCATCAATGTGACAGAAAAGACATGTCTCAGCTGGTTGCCCTTCAGATTTGCCGACAACAGAATCCCATGTCCAACCGATGCTAGCTCCACAGCCGCACTCCTCTCTGCAAAGCACGACCGTTCTGGCCTAACGCCTGACGTTGTTGATTTTGAAATCCCAAAGCGCCATCCTCTTTGTTTCCAAATACCACCAAAACGCCAGCGGGCTTGGGTCATATTCCGTCGGAGCTCTACCCACTGACCACGAGCCGTCTCGTCTCTTTGCTCTCCCTAATCCGAAGCAATCCCGACGATTCGGGCGGCAGAGCCAATGCGAAACTTAATTTCGTCACGCAGTGCTTCGCGAAGCGGCGGTGGGACATGAAGAGCTGCGAGCTTCCGGGCCAAGGTAATGATTTCCTCCGTCGTCTTTTCGTCATTGAGGTTGTCAGGCTTGCCGTCTTGGGGATTGTCATGTATCGACTCGGCATCTTGGGCACCGTCTTCGGACTCAAAGTCCAGTGTTTGGGACTTTGCGTCGCTGGAAGGTTCGCTGGCGGTGTCGCAACTCTCGTCCTGTCAGGAGATTGAACGTTAGCTGTACCATCGCCACGTCAGGGACATGTCGTTGTTCGGCTCGGCTGCCGGGTACTGACCTCTTGCGCGAACGGCCCGGGAGAAGCTGCATCTTCGGGTCGCTTTGTCATGCTGGACGTCTCGATTGGTATTCTTGAAGTGCACACCAGCAAATGATGCCAGCAAGTAAAAGGTGGCTGGGTTTTCTTGCGGTGTTTTCAATAAGTGGTCATGATGCTGTCCTTGAGGGTGGCGCGTGTTGTCGTGGTTTGGATTGGGTCAGGGAAGGGAAATCGAAAACGAGAAACCAAACCAAATTGCGGGTGCTTGGCCTTTCATTTGCTGGATGCACCAGCTGCAGTGTGTCAGCGAGGCTGCGTGACGGCAGGTGCCATCGTCACTGGCGTCCGTCCAGTCTTGCCTTGCCATAGATGGACCAGGGTGGATGGTACGGGCCCTCGCGCGCTCACCGTTACTGTGGTGGTAATCGTCCACTTGCTGTGGCGCTCACCGTTACTGTGGCCGTGAGCATCCGTACTACGTTAGCAGGCCACCGTTGGAGACGGTGGCTCATCCACGAGGTTCCTGGTTCCAACGCTTTCGGAAATCCCCCACATGGTCGGGAGCATTTCAGTCACCAAGACACCCTATCAAGCCCGTCCCTCGGCAGCTCGGATGCAGTGACGAATCATGATCATTGCTGTCGCTTCGCACTTCGTCATCCGGAGATCTCGGTCGCATCAGTCTCTAAGGTGCCTTGGGCAAAAGCTACAGCGTGTACTCTGGGCTTCATACTGTAGCTACCAGGGTACATGCTGTGAGCCCGGGCAATTCTTGAGCAAACGGGAAAGAAAAGGGGCCCTCAAGGTACCTGACGTGGAATGTCACATGTGACGCCCCACAGATACCCGGCCTCCACTTTCCTCTTTGCTCCTGCCCGCCTTCCTTGCTCCGACTGGGAGAGGGCCAAAAGCAGTCCATCAGAGGAAGTAGCGCAGCACTTTGAACGCCTGTTGACTATTTACCACCTGCTAAGTTTTCACAGCCTGCTGATTTCCCAGGCAGGTACCTTGCGCCACTATGGGGGCCCTGCTGTGTCCCGTCCATCATGGTCCTCCACGTCTTCTTGTTGGGGGTACCCGTGTGTCCCGGGGCTCACATTGCCCAGCGCCAGGAGATGCAACCTCACCGAAATGCAATTAGGTACTGATCATTGCCGGGCCGCTGTGCCTGTGGTATCCCCCGCTCAGGGTTCTCATGCCTCAGGGTTCTCATGCCGACGCCGATTACTCAGTGATTTCACGGTATTGTTGCACTGCATGCACCGTGTGGTCCTGATGCAGACCCACCCCATGTCACCGCAAACCAACAAATCCACTGCAAGACCTAATGCAGATCAACGCCCTGGGAGATCAACACGCACAGCCAATCCAACTTTACACGTGAGCTGCGCTCGCTGGTTCACCGTCTAAGTCGATCGGCTCTAGATCTGTCTCTTGTAGACAGGGGGTGCGGATTCCCCTTTTCCAGGGCCCACAACCATCCAAGACCAACAACCAGCCTTCCCCCCTCTGCATGCCCGGGTGCAATTGTAGTTCATAACCAACAGAGGATCCGTTTCAAGATCGCCAGGTGTTCTCATCCTCAGCCATACAATTTGCTGCACTCGCTTTATCCCATCCTCCTCCAGATCATAAGGTTGCCAACTACGGTCCGGGATGGTTATCCAACCGGGTCTTGCGGGTGTACCATGGAAAGTTTGAGACGCATTCGAATAGAGACAGGCTGTCTGGATTGTCATTCGCCAGACCGTGTTAGCAAAAGTCCTCAATAGTAGTCATTCGTGCGACGGTCATTGATCCCGCAATCATCATGGAGAAGATCGACTTTTTTCGGAGCGTGGACGTTCTGGGAAGCGGCGCCATCAATGCCGGCGATGGGAGTCGGGGGCTGCAAGCTGTGGTCAGCCAAATGGCTTCACGCGAGCGCAGTGCTCGAAGCCGACAGCAGGGGAAATTGATTGGGGTGTTTTGCCCCCATGGTTTCCTGGTTGGCACTGAGCAAGCGTTTGTTAAGCACACCCTCCCGTCTCATCCTGACTGGGTTGAGGGCGGAACGAACAAGGAACCGAATATCCTTCAGCAACACAGCCTGATTCAATTTTTGGTAGTGATTTTATTTCTTCCAACCAAGGAGGAACTTTGAGCTCGTCAACCTTTTATTCTGGGAACGAAGGTGATTCTTCCGACCCGAAAGACCCTCCGAATCCAGGCCCAAGGCGACCGATCTTGAGAAGAAAGTCCACGCTCCGCATCCAAGCTTGAAAGTTCCATCCCCGTCGATTATCTCCTGCCTGATATGGGACTCGCTATTTCCACCGATTTGACGGTTTTGAGAGCTTTGAAATCACGGTACGCGGCTAAGTCTCGAAGCAATGTTAATCAAGATGACTTCATATACGCCGCTGCGAGCTACGACAGCATCAGCATGGACCATGTTGGCGTGCCTTCTTGGCAAGGGCCTCGGCCTCGCTGGTTCTCTGATGCGCTTCACATTTGGCACGGACGAGGGCCGCAACGAAAGCATCTTGTGGTATGGAGCTGCCTGCGTCAAACGGGGTAGCCGCCTGCATATGCTCAGCGTGCATCCTCAGGATCTGCTCTACAGCCGAAAGCTCTTTCTGGCTCCGATCCTAGCTTGCGTCAGACAGATTGTTCCAAGGCTCGACGATGGCGATGTGTATTGTTACCCGCTGCGAAACGTCGCTCTCACCGTGTCGGGCGCGCTGGTTGGCTTCAGAACACTCCAAGCATACGTCAGTCAAGCAATACAATGCGATAAACAGTTCGGGCATACCTCCATTGTAGTTTGGATGCAGCGTTTTCACTATGCGTTGGGGCCGGGGGTGGTGGTCGTCTCGAAGGTTGGGGAGGAAGGTGCGAGGTTTCCTGGTTTGGGTCTTTCTGTCTGAGACATTAACTGTCGTCCTGACCAGAAGAAGGTCTTGGTGGCTCATTTCCACCCGCGAAGTCATTGAACTCGACGACACCCACAGCAAGCCTTGAGATACCAGCAGTGCACTTTTCGCTTCATTCGGACAGAGCAACCTTGTGCACCTGGCTTGCAGGGCAATCATCCATTTACGTTGAAGGTGGTGAAGTATTGAGCCCCGGCGAAGCATCGCATTGATCTCGACGATTTGGGCAATGGCCTGGTTCTCCACAGCACCGTGCGTCTCGGGTTGGTTGGGTTGGGGACGGCCGTACGCATCTCATTTTCACTGGACCATGAACACCTTAAACACTTTTCTCCGAACCGGATCTTTGGCTCCAAATTTGCCAGGTCGTGTTGGGAGCGGATGGCACACGTGCTTGTTCCCGTTCCGCGATCGCGCCATTCATGCGCGCAAAGGCATTTAGCAAGTGCCCTGCAGTCTGGCGCCTTCGGTGATGAAAGCCTTCCTGCCCGTAAACGATTGGCGGCGGCAACCGAAGCTTTCCAGAACCAAGTGTCCGTCCTCTATTCTGGAGAGACCGTCGGGGTGGTTAGGTCGGTCTCGGATGTCGGAACGAGGTAGGGAGTGGTGCAGATACGCGGAGAGCATCGTCAGGTCCTGGATTACGGCTGTAAACCAGACAATGTGGCGGCGGAGGGCAAAGACATGGTGTTGAACGGTGGGTTGTTCAGAACGATTTCGTTGACAATGAGTAAGACAGGTACTACTTGACCGAAAGAAAGAGGGTACTTCGGGATTTCGCGGAATCGTTCGAAGATCTGAAGGTATTTTGCCGAGCGAGTCTGCGTTCGAGATTGGCATCGTCTTGTTGCCGTTCTTGTTGCCTGTCGGAAGTGCGACGACAAGCCTTTTCAGGCGAGGGCTCACCAGGTGCATGTTCTTTGTCGGGCTTGTTGAATAGGTATCAGGAGGAGGATAGGTGGTCAGCGATTTCAGATAGCAAGTAGCAAGTATGATGTGGTTGGGATTACTCTCGCGACATGGGAAGAAGATCCGGTCGATGCGGATTCTCGGCGGCCCAAGTGGCACGTATCGGTGTGCTGCCGCTCTCCTACCTTACCTGGTGGACGGGGGGTACGTAAGGTAGGTAGTCCTGAGAATCGGTGAAGGACATGACTTTGGACCACTGTCCTGCCTTACCTGCCAACGTACGTACCCAAGGGTGCCTGCCCCCGTCTGTTTACAGATCATCGCGGCTCCGGCATCAGGTTCACGGAACTCCCTGGCAAGAAAACGGTGGGGTTGGCGCAACGCCGTGAGCTCTCTTCCACCCTGCCTTCAACCCGCAACCTTCTTTTCCACTAACATCGGTCGAATCTTTCAACTTTGGAAGATTCAATCATTTGCTTCTCGGTACCATCACCTGCGTCCATCGTTATCCCGTCGTTCGCGCCCTTGTCTCCACCAACTGCATTCCCTCCAACGTCGTCCCTCGCCTCCTGCGTTTCGCTCCGTCAATGTCTTTGTTCTGTCCACCTCCGGTTGGCAACGCCCTTCCGGTTTCGGTTGTCGGGTTCCTGTCGTTTCAGTCTCCACGCTTGGTTCTGTTTGGAAAGAAGCGTGGTTACACTTCCTGCGTCGGGACGCTTGGTACATCCGATGCCCCTTCCGTGCGGGAAAGACCGCCCCACCCACTTCCTTCCCTTCATGTTCCTGCTGAACCACAACGCCTTCCTTCCCGTTCCCAACGCGGGTGCCTTATATGCCTGGCTGATCGCATTCCCATCACTACCAGCAGCGTGCACATAGCCTAACGGTTGTGTGTATGTGACAAAGCTGACCTGCACATGCTAACCTCTATAAGCGCTCACAAGTTCGAGTATGCCGGCTGGATGCCTCTGTGTAGTATTGAAGGCCTAACACCCCTTACCAGGTGTTAGGAATAGGGTTGTCCACCTTCGGGTGTAATGCTCCGCCTTGCTCACACCTGCTACATATAGTCTCGGAAGAACTGTCCATGAGAGGCGTTGCACTCTCGCCCTGGTAAGGGGGGCCTTATCTCCATGCGATTGTAGCGGGTGAAGCAAGGCTTAATGCTTTTGTCATTAACATCAATTGATTTTTTTTTTCTAAATAGCGATTAATTGGCTAGACGCGACTCACACTGAGGCCTTG